AATAATAATAATAATAATAATAATAATAAAAACAATTAAAAATGCCCCACCTGAGCCCACCTTGGAGACGAAAACTGGCTGTACGCTGTTCCATGGCTGCAGTTGACCCTTATCCCAGGGGGAGAAGCTGGGGGGCTGAGTGGGTACACAGTCCTGAGCGCCTGCTGTGTGCCAGGACCTGCCGGGGCTGGGGATGCATGGTGAGAGGGATGCATCCACCCCAGCAGGTGCATCTGGGGGCTGCCTGCCCCAGAGGAATGCAGGATGAGGCAGCTGCCCCACGGTCCAGCCAGAGGCGGCGGTGTCCTCCATGGAGGCTTTGGGATTCCTTTGGGCAGACTCGATGCCTTAACCCTGGCCTTCTCAACCTTGGCTGTGGAACAGAATCATCTGGGGACAGTTCTGTTTTTGACGTACATTTTGCTTATTCATCAGTTGATGGACATTTGGGTTAGTTCCACTTTTTGACTATTGGGAATAACGCCAAAACATCCGTGTACAAGTCTGACATTGGCCCAGCGTTTTATTTGTTTTGACCATTCCCACACAAGTATTTGGCTGGACGTGTTTTCAGTTTTCTTGGGTCAGTACATCGGAGTGGGATTGCTGGGTCTTTCAAAAGTTTCCACACCCACAGAAAGCAGGACACATAATTATTTTAAGCCTTAAGTTTTGGGGCAACTTGTTACACAGCATCAAGTAACTCAGAACGAGAGGGGCTGTATTAGAGCTATTTCCTTTCTCAGATTCTTGCTCTGCCTTCCCAGCTCCTGGCCCGTGTTCCCCCAGCCTCGGTACGGAGGATGGAGAGAGATGAGATGCAGCCCGGGTCAACACAGAATCAGGCAGACGTCAGCCAACATTGTTTTTTTCCTCCATTTTAATGAACACTTTACAAAGTACAAAATATACTGTTTTTTGGGGGGGAACATTAGGTACTTTTTTCTCTCTGTCATACAGTACATGAATCTCGAGGGTTTTGTATTTCTTCAAGAAAGAAAGAAAGCATGAGGACCCCAGGGTGCAGGGCTGCCCAGTTCTCCCCTCACCCAGACCTTGGGACAGGTGTAGGTGTCACTTCTACTGCTGGTGACCCGGGGCATGCCGGGTGAGGGCGAGACCTAAGACGAGACCCTGGGCAGGGCAGAGACCCCTCTCAGCCCCGCTGTGTGTCCAGCATCCACTCAACCCCATCTCAGAATAACGGAAATGATTTTGGCAAAGAGCAAGAGGAGGGCTTGGGGTTTTGTTTGCTGTTAGCCAACCCTCCACCCAACCCCGTTTCAGAACCAACTTTGCCCAGTTCTTCCTGGACCATTAACTGAACAGGTAAACTGAAGCAGTGGACAGGAAAATGCACTGTGCATGGCCTCTGTCTTGGGATCTGAATTTGGCCTGTTTTTCACTCCCCTGCCATGGCCCACCTTTAGTCTCCCAACTTTGTTGGATGCTCTTCGTGGACAAGCCCCAGTAGGCGAGGGGGCACTGATCCCCAGAATCTCTCCCTATAAATACTGTCTTCAGGATTGGCTGTTCCTGGAGTTGGCCCAGCAGGTCTAGACCTTGGAGGGGCACCTCTGCCCCCTCCCCAGAGCAGCTTGGACAAAGTCAAGGGGATGGGGTGGTCCTGTGATTGAGGTCTGCCACCCCCACCCTTTCAACTGTACATGTGGCCCACGGGTAAGAATGTACCAAGGTCTCAAAATACTCAGTGAGCCAGTCCCTTAACTCTGATCTGGGCTCTGCTGCTCACATACATATTAGTGGGTGTTACAGCACACGCCCACACATATGTGTGTGTATAAACAGAACACTGTCCTGACTCGCAGCACTGCCCACTGTCACAGCATCCTCCACCTTGAACCGAGAGCCACAATCCTCCTCCCCACCAGGCTGCCCGCAGAAGCCACGGGCCAGGCTGAGCCTTCTACCTCCAGTCCAGGCCACAGATGGTGCCTTCAGCCCCAAGGACAGCAGGCTGCCTCAGTCAAGAACTCCTGTCCTTCTCCGCCCAAGAAAACAGACTTCCCAGGAGGGCGTGGGTTTCAAGGCTGAAGCCTGCAGCACCCCCCCCCCATGGCTTTCTCCCCTGGTTTAGGGAGAGAGTTAAGCGTGTCCTTTTGCTCCCTCTAATTTGAAAATGAAACAAAGAAAAGAGCTGGGATGGGCTCTGACATGGAGGAAAAGGTATCTAGCTATACCAGGGCTCAGCTCCCCTCAGGGCAAGTCCCAGCCACTCTTCCCAAGCCCGCCCTCCGCCCTCCGCCCTCCGCGCTCGGCCCTCCGCCAGGCTGACCACCGTCAGCCATCGTGGTCGTTCCCGTCCCAGGTGGGTCTCTGAATAGAGGGCTACTCCCCACTCCAGACCTAGCACCTCCTCGGCACAATACAGGAAACCCGAAAAGCCAAAGCCCCTGGCTTTCCGCTAGGAGACCCCATCATCCTCCACCAAGCTCCACTCACCAAGCCAACCACCACCGCCACTTCTCAGTGGTCGTGACATCGGTGCCTGGGCTGCTCCCCAGCCCTGGCTTATGTGGGCACAGATACATTGGGGGTGCTTCCTACCTACCCCTCACCGTTTTCACTCAGGAAGTGGCATCAAAAATCCCTCAGCCACAGGGCTGCTATGCCATCACCTGGGAGGTTCCCAAGGTCCCCTCTCTTAGCTGGGTCTGGGAAGAGCCCAGACCCAGAGGCTCAAAATAGTGGCCCAGGGTGGCTGGGAACTGTGGCCAGAGGGGCTGGTGGGTGGGCAGGTTCACTTGTGATTATCATCAGGCAAATGGTACCCTTGGCTTGGGGTAGGGGCCTGACCTTTCCCACCTCCCAAAGCCTCCTCTCCTGACCTCCATGGCATCCTCTGTCACCTCAGAGGGGACAAGCCCCAAATGACCAGGCATCATCTAGATACCACATTGGTCACCGAGGCCGTGCTGCCTTAATGGGAGGCCCCAGCAGCCAGCTCCGGGCCACCCACTCTCCCCTTTCCCACCGGGGGCCTGTGGCCTCCAGCTGGTGGGAGGGGAGAATGCTGGTGCCCAGGGGGTTCTGGACCCTGAATCCTGGGAGGTCTGCGCGCCTCTCGTGCTCAGATGTGTGCCCTGGGCTGAGGGCAGTGGTGTGGGCACCGCCTCCTGGGGGGCTTTGGAGACCCTGTGGAGAAGGAGGTGCAGGGCGGGTGCTGCCCTACTCTGTGCTGGCTCAGGCCTGGGGCTGAAGGAGAAAGGGGGTTTCTTAGGAACCAGGGGAGCCCACGGCTCCCCGCCTTCCTCCCTCTCCCCACTCTGTGGTGTGTAGTGATGGGGCGAGCGAGGGGCGAGGGCAGCGTTCAGATGGTTTGAGCTTTCTTACTAGGGAATAGTACAGAAGCAAAAGACACACCTGGAACCCAGGTGGCAGCTCCAGGGCCGCCTGCTCACCCCCCGAACACAGCCAAGAATGCCCAGCCCAACAGGGCTGCCTCTGTGGGTCTGGAGACCTGGCAACAGCTGGAAATGGCTGGGGGCAGCCGGCCACCGAGAAAACCACTCACTTTCCCCAGACGGCTGGAGATCAAACCCCTGACCACGCTGACCCCAAGGACGTGCCGGCCTCCACACACGGCTGGGGGGCAGGGGATGGGGAAGAGAGGGAGTGGGTTTCCTGGATGTTGGCTCCTGCCCCGTTGGCTGGATACACACCTGTGCAGCGGGGAGAGCCGAGTCCTTGCACCAGCCCCTCCTAGAAATGTCAAGGGCATCCACCCATTTCTCAGAGAGACAGGGCCTGTCCCCAGGATGACAACTGGGAAACGAACCTGAGCTTTCTACCCTTGTAGGTGAAAGAAACCAGGTGAGCCATCAGTGATCAAGGGTGCGGGGAGCAGACCTGGACTGAAACCCAGAGGTGACCGTCCAGCTGACCCAGGTCTTCAGGTCGAGAGGACTGGCAAGGGGGCCGTTCTGTTCCAAAGCAAGAAATTCCAACTGCTCCTCCCTCCGTGCTGCTGTCCCCCAATAAAACAAGGGTGTCTGGGGGCCTTGGTGGTAGAAATGGGGGGTGGGGTGGGAAGGAGCCAATTCTACTTTCAAGGGAGACTCGGGGAGGAGAGGGCAGGGACCCTCAACACACACCCCGGGGCTCAATTCCTGGGCTGCTGGTTTAGTTTTTCTCAAGTCAGGGCCGAGGCCGCCAGTCGGCTTCTCTAATAATCGTATTGCCTATATACTTGAATTAAAAATATATGGTGGCTCAAAATGTGCCTGTGTGCATGGCAGACACAGCGGGGCACGCCCACACACACGCGCACGGACACACAGTGGGGTCTGTGTCCACGTACTGCGCACACACCCGTGCGCGCGCTCTCACGCTATATATTAACATATATATTGCTCAAGTATATATGCTATTTACAGTATATATCTATATCAACATAAAACACAGGTATTTATATGTGTGTACAATATACGTCCTAGGGGGTCTGGGGCACACGTTTCTGGGGGGCACGGGGCCGACACTGGCTCGGCGGGAGAGAGGCGGGGAGGGGACACGGTGAGGGGAGTCCACGGGAGGGGGTCTGGAGAGGCGCGCCACAGAAAAATCAAGGCCTTCCAAGGACACAAAGGGGACTCGGGGCCTGAAGGGCCACCCCCATTTTGTAACCAGCAAACTATTGACACGTTTTGGTTGTTTTGGAGTTTTGTGCAAAATGAATCAACTTAAAAAAAAAAAAAGTGGGCTCCGAATCAGTGCTGGAGCCCTGAATGCCTGCAAGGATCCAGATGCACAGCTCCCCGACCTGGTGGGCTTGCAGGGCTCAGAGGGCCCCACGCGGCTCGCACGTCACCAGGCCAAGAGACGGTCCCTTCTCCGAGCACACACGCCAGCTGCTGCCCGAGTGCCGAGGAGGGCCCCTCAGGTCCTGCTCACTTGGAAAACCCTTCCAGCTGGGGAGGAGGCATGGGAGTCACCCCATTGTCCGTGGGGGCTGGCCTGCCACCTGGCTGTCCACCTCCTTGTGGCCCTCGGGGCCCCTCTGATGCTCAGAACAACTCTGGCTGGGCAGCCCTGTGTAGGGGGCCCCGGGGACCTGTCTCATAGCAGACCTCTGCTCCCAGCTTCCTGCCGCAGAGGCCCCCGCGGCAGCTCCAGCTCTCTGTGCCCGTGCCTGGCCCCACAGGGCGCCAGCCAAGCAACGTCAAGCTCTGGGCCCCCAACGGGCTCAGAAGGCCCTGTCCCCTGAAGCTGCTGCCACCCGCAGCCTGGGTGCAAACATTAAATAAGAAACTAAAACAAGGTATGGTTTTCTCTATTAAGGCTCAGATAAGCTGCCTCCTAGGTCGTGTACTCATGAACGCCACGGTCCCTGGACTGAGACAGGTGGGCAGGTGAGTTGGGGGCAGAGGCCTTCTGCGTTTCCCCCAAAAGTGGGGCGGGGGGAGTGGGCAGGATGATGGGGGAGCCCTGTGCTGGTCTAGTCAGCTGCTGGGGAGGTGGGGGTGACCTAAGAAACCCCAGGCCCTGAATGCTGGGGATGTCCCCACTTGGGCGGACCAAGGCTCTACCTGCCCAAGAAGGAAAGGCAGAGGGGGTAGGAGCTTGTGCCCCAGGCTGGGGGGGTCTCCTGGGAACCCCCTCCCCCAGGCCTGAGTGCTTGTGATGGGGTCTGGACAGGGCCCCCCTGGCAGTCTTGCTGGGAGTCAGGGCACAGGCCCTGCGGTTGGCAGGCAAGGTGGCTGGCGTTCCCTCCCGCAGCTCAAGGCCCCACCCGAGCTCCCTCGGAGCCTCGCCAGCACAGGACCAGAGGGCCGCCCACTGGCCTCCACTCTGCAGGAACCAGCCCAGAGCCAAGGGAACCAGAGACCAGCGACCACAGCATGGTCTCACGAGGGCCTACCCGGGCTCCACAAACTCAGCCCCGCTCAGCCAGCCCCCCAGGATGACACAAGAATCGGTACCCCAGTGTCTTGTAGAAGGCGCCAGCTTCCTTCAGCGTCTGCCCCAAGCTGTGGGCAAGGCTGGACGGGGAGGTGGGTCAGCTCACAAGCTCCCTGGGCCTCAAACATCATTTTCTGGGGCAGGGGTGGGAGAAGAAGGTGCAGGGTTCTCTGGAGGGTCTGGGGGCTCCAGGAAGGCAGGAGGGCAAGGGGAGGCCTTGGCATGGGCCTCAGGCCTAAGGGAAGGGTCAGCCGTCGGGGGTGTCTCCCAGAGGCCTCTGCTTTGGGGTCCCCGGGGCTGATTTTCCAGTCTGTTGAGAAATACTGTATGAAGAGTCTTCGGGGTGGGGCCGGGCCCAGGCCTGGGGGGGCGGCCGGAGGAATGCGGAGCAGGCCCTCCTAATGCTTATCTGCTTGGCTGACTTTCAGGGCGCTGATGACACTGTTGATGTTCTCTTCTGGTACCTGCAGGGGCGGGAGGGAGTGAACACCTGTGAGCCCCTAGAACCAGCTTCCCCTGCACCAGGGCGGGTGCTGGATACTCACCAGTGCGTGGTCGAACTTGAAAGTACTGATGTAGTAGGCGGGGATGTCTGCAGCAGCCAGGGGCTCGGAGATCTGGGCCACAATGCCGCACTCATCTGGGGACAGAGGTGGGGACCTCACTCAGCCTCCTCCCTACCCCGTCACCCAGCACATCCTTGGCCCTCCTTGCTCTCCAGCTTCTCCATCCTTCTGCTGGCAGTGCCTGCCCTGCACCCAGTCTTCCCAGAGACTCACCACCCCACGCCTGAAGGCTTAGTGCACAGGCCCCTCCATCCAGCAGCCTTCTCTGACCTCCTTGGCCAGTGAAGAGCTCTCCATCCTCAGGGCGCCACAGAACCCAGCTCTAACTGGGATCATCTGCCTGTTTCCGTGCGTTGTACATGGGATTCACCTTCCCTGCCACCTTGCGAGTTCTCTAAGATGGAGCTGGAGGCAGTGTGGGCAAAAAGGCGACACGGGTCCAGGCCCCCTTTTCTGTTGCTCTGACTCTTTTCTAGCCAGATGATGTGGCCAAATCAAGCCCTCTGAGCCTCAGTTTCCTCATCTGAGTGCTCCCTGGGTAAAGGTCCCTGCCTGTCCTAAAGGCAGTCAGGCAGCTGATCACAAGGAATGTGATTTCTCCTAAATCTTCAAAGCAGTGGCGCTTTCTGGTCTCCCCCAAACCTCAGCCAATAAGGTGGCCTTGGGGTTGCCTGGCGATGGTCCTCCGCCAACTTCCACCTTCCTCCCTGATTTGAAGGCACCATGCAAAGCTTCCTCCTACAGGAAGACCTCCAGGATCTGAGGACCACTGTTCTCCATCAACACAATACCTCAAATGCGTCTGGCAATGATGCATTTCCCCAACACTGTCCCCACTGAGTGGGAGAGTCCAGATCTGGCCACCAGCTCCCCATGGGATTCTGAGGCCTGAGCCTGGGCATCAACCTGAGGCCCAGCCTTCCTCCACTGCCATCAGCACCTAAAGCATCCTCTGCACCCCTTCACTCCCTGGCCCTGGTCCTGCTCGGCAGCCCGTCCTGGGACCCAGGAGGTGACTTCGCAGGTCTCTCAATTTTCGCTTTCTGCTTGGTCTCCCGGGGCTCCTGGATGGAGGCCCCTTCGGTGGCTGTTCAGGCCTTGTGACTGCCTGGGGTGCTATTTAGTGGAGACCGGTTGTATCCTAAGATCCTTTAGCTACAGACACATTCATTTTTATTCCTACAAAAGGGGGGTGGGTAGGAGATTAGGGTCTAGAATGGTGCCTTTCCAACCGGGCGTGATCACGGTGACCCATGTGGGATATCAATTTAGAAGACTGGTGACCAGCATTTTACAAAATGACAATAGAAAAGGATAGTACTGGAGTGAGCTGAGTTTTGTGAACCTGTAGAGTTGTCTGTGTATGTGCGTCCTGGGCTGTGATGGAAAACATAGTTATCCCAAATTGTGGTCAAAAACATATGGAATCCACCAAGCTAGAATCTTTCTGATTCGCAATAAGTTATTTTTCTTGCAGGGCTATTTACAGCTATTAGCCTGGCGCTAAACCCCTCCACATCCTGGAAGGCAGATGCAGCTGCTGCCCGCCAGGTTCACCGTGCTGTTCCTTGCAGTCTTCCCTAGGGCCACCCAGAACAGCCCACAGCAACACGCAGAGGGTAAGACAGCTGAGTTTCATCTACTCTCTCCACCTTGATTCTCCCTTCATCCTTTCTTTTTTCTGTAATATTATTATACTGAATGTATTCTGGTAAACTCCGAACCAAAGCTGGAGATAAAAAGACAAGCCGATGTGCTCGTATTCCTGCTTCTTCCCTGAGTCTCCTTCCCAGTGATGCCTGGCTGACCCTCTTGCTCTGCTGGTCCCTCTACCTTCAGGAAGAAATGGTGACAGACCCATTGATCCGGCATCAGGACCCTGCCCCTCTGCCTGTGAAGACCCAATGAGGCTCCTCTCCCACCGTTTCTACCGTGGAGAGGTGCCTCTGTGTCACACCTCCCTCTGCTGGCACTGCCCTCTCCTCCCCATCAGTGGGGTATCTGCTGGTCAGCTCTGGAGCCACCTCCTCTGGGAAGCTTCCTTTCCTTAACATTCTCCAAGCCTTACGTATGACAGTGACAGCAACTGCTGCTTGCAACCACTTGGTGTAACCGACACGTTACGGAGCGTTCAGAACCACCCTGAAGCAGCATCCACCATCATCCTTATTTTACAGGTCAGGAAACAGAGGCTCCCAGGTTAACAGCACCCCCGAGGTCACCCTGGTTTCCTTCAACCTTCTTCACTGGCGACCTTTCCTCTGGGTGACTCAATCTCCATAACCCCATGGCCCTGAACTGGGCAGCGAACGTGGGTAGGAGAAATGCTGGGGTCTGTGGAGAATGTGGGTAGGAGAAATGCTGGGGTCTGTGGAGAAGGCGGCCCAAGAGACAGGCTGAAGCCCCGGGTCGGACCAGGAGCCCTCAGTATACGCGTCCTAGCACTCCAGAGAGCAGCCCGCTACCCTGCCCCCAGGATGCTCTGGCTTTGGCCTTGATGTGAGCAGTTAGGGGGTGCTGTCCAGTCGTGGAGTTACTGTTCCTCTGTGACCTTGCTAACAGAAAGGCACAGGCAGGCGGCAGAACTTGGCTCCCTCATGGACCCGTCGCCCCCAGGGTCAAAATGCCCTGCTACCTCTGTGTCCTGTCCCAGGAGCAGAGCCCCCAGGGCTGACCTGATGGCCCTGGAGCAGTCTGTACTTTATCTGGAACATTCTATGCTCTGTCTATGGGAAGTCAGGGTTTACCGACCCCAGCAGGGCTGACTGAGGGGTGCTTCCTGGAAATAACCATCCTGTGATTTATCAAGACCCTCTTCTGGGCACAAGCTTTTTGGTCTGACAAGTCTAGCCCAAAGAAATCATTTCTATTACCAAGAAAAAGCTCGCTGCAGTCACCACAACAGGGCCAGCAGCCTACACCCGATTCTGGGAGAATCAGTACCACACGGCCCTTCTAACTGAGGGGTCTGAGACTGTGGCTCCTTGGAAAATGCTCATGGGACAAACTATCTCCCAAAGACAGTTTGGACAATTGTGGAAACTGAGGCTAGACTGAGTCTTAGGGAATTCGTGTGAAGTTCCTCCGATGGGATCAGATCACTATAGGTATACAGGGAAAAGTGCTTCTTCCCTGGGACAGAAAAAGTGAGGTATTTAGTGGGTGAGGGGATGGGACGTCTGAGTTTTACTGAGAGATGGACAGTAATTATGTGAAAGAAACTCATTAAAAATGACAGCAGTCATTAGCTGTCAACAGTGGGACTGAGGAGTGATTTTTTTTTTTTCCTCTTCAATTTTTACCATGTCCCCAGTGTTCTAATTACAAGCAGGTTTTAATTTTCGAGTTGGGGGAAATGAGTGCTGTGGTTGAAGCTGCTTCTCCCATCCTCTGGAGGCCAGTGCTTCCTGTCGTTCAAAGGCTAAGGGACCATGGGCAGTGGGGACCTCAGTCTCCCCATCCATACCAGGGGTACAGGTGCATCAGCAGTGCTGGCCCACCCCCACCCCCGTCACAGTGCTGAAGTCCGTGGGGCTCACCGAATCCCAGGGGCTGTCCTCCGATCCGCACCATCTTCCAGAGCTCTCCGGATGCGCTCGTGAACAACAGGTTACTAGGAAACCTTAAACGGGAGTGAGCAATGTTCGGATGGATGTTCATCCCCAGATGTTAACCATGCTCCCTCCGCCAGCCCTCCCTGCACCGTCCCCTGCCCCCAGGGCACTCAGTGCAGGGCCAGAGCGAGGGGG